CGCCATGTGTGGCAGCTGAAGACTGTGACTCACAGGAGGGAAAAACTTCAGCAATATAGGACAGGCGTCGCCAGCCATGAAGGCTCGTTCAAAACGATTTCTGCCTACAGTACACCATTGTCCAACTGTTTAGAGATATGCCATGCTGGCGGTTCATGAAGCCCAGAGCCGCCACAGGCAACCTCGTTTTTCATCATAAAAGGCAAAGTATTATGTATGTGATCTGCACCACCGCCCCCTCGATTGGACGCCGCGCCGAACCTCGCGATTTACCTCTCCATTCTACTGCGGGCGACAGTTGCTTCCGCCAGACTCCATGGCGGCGAGGCTGAAATCAGCCGCGGAAGAGAAGAGCGTCTTCATTTGGCTGGCAGGCGGGATAGTGGGGGTCATGGCGCTGCTTACGTCGATGGCCCCCTTTATCGGCATTCTCCAGATGATGACAGTGATAAACTTGATGTCGGCATGCACATGCTGCATAGCGGTGAGGACCTCTACAATTGCTCAATAGTTACAGCAGTGGCTTCGGACACGCACCACCTCGTTTCGCACCTCTTGTCATGTTCTCTTCGACAATATCAGCATTTTCACGCCTTCGTCTCCTGGGTTTACAGTGTTTTCTCCTTCTCCCTCTCTTTGCTGTACTCTCGTCTCGCACCTTGGGGACACCTCTGCTCTGCACGTCAGCCCAGTGAAATTTTCTACTTTTCTGCAGATCGATGCTTGCGAAGCTGCGTCGGACCCTTCCATTAGGATGGACTCAAGAATCTATGCTTTGTACTTTGCCATCCCTTGTTTTGCACTCTTCGTCGCCGAAACAACCATTTGTTACGGAGGTTCACTCGGGTGCGCCTGCTTACAGAGCTACCGAAGTGTACTCCTCCTTTTCCATCTCGGTGTAATGCCCTACGATGTCGAGTGCTTCTGCTACGCCGCGCATGTTTATGCTGTCGGCTGCAAAGTCTATCTCTGTCCCTTGGGGTACGAGCGACTCCAACGATTGTTCGAAGTCACCCAAGTGCCACAACGCACATAAAGTTGGACCGAACGAACGAATAAGCCATGTGCTTGCGTTCGGAAGCTCATCATTTTGGATTGTTCTGCGCATGCCTTTCTTTCACCTCAGCGTTTGGTAGCCTCGGGCTGTGCTGCACTTACATATAATGAAACAACAAAACCGTTGGATACGAGGATACGTTTCCCTGCGGACGAATGATATCAGTACCGTGGAGTACAACAAATCATGCCTTCACTTCGCCCTGTTCTCTTCATGCCCCCGTTACTTGTGCTACAACCCCCCACATTTCAGTTGAGCTGCTTTTTGTTCGTGGGCGTTATTATCACCAGGGTTATCATCCTTGCCAAAGCTAAGGTAAGAAGGGGTCGGTCATGACCATGACTAAGATGCTTGGTAGCCCGAAGGTGTGGGTAGGTCTTATTGCACAGTATAGCAAGCACTCCCAAGTACGGTCTAGACAATGTATTCATCTTCTGGAGCGTTTGCGGGGACATGCACCAGGCAAGCTGCGTTTGTGTCGAACAGCATCTTGAAGCTTTAGATAGTCTGATCAGTTTGCTATAAAAGCGGCGACACTATTCAGCATAGAAACCGGCATGTGCTTGTTGTGCAGTATTCTCCTCGCGTGTTATTGATACTGCTGTAACAGGTACAACCTGAACAAAATCGACCGCACGTGTGGGTCAGCACACCGAAATTAGTTCATATCGGAGCAACTACAATAGTGCTTTCCGTGGTATAACTTGCATCTCATCGTTCACGTTATGAGCTCAACTTTGGGGGGAAATCGCATCGAGGGATAACGGCCCCGTGCGCAATATTCCTCTCATCGACAGCCGAGAATGAAACCCAGCAATCACTCGCATTCACTCTGCTCGTCCACTGCCGGCCACCATTGCATCACTTTGATGAGGTACTTACCAGGCATCTACGGCAGGCAGGATTATGTACACCAGAGCGTTGAAAAGGCTATGGACGCAAGTGTTCGTCTTAGTCTCCATGGCGTCGACATGGATGACCGCAGCTTTCGCTCTTGAGCTCTCGCATGCAGGCCATAGCACACCGATAATACCCTTGTCTTTCATGGTGAGTGAAGGAGTGAATGAGTGGTGAGTGGGTGCGTGAGTGAGTTTTCGGGTGAGTGAGTATGTGATTGGGAGTCGTTCGTGAGTGAGCGGGTGGGCGAGTAAGTGGGTGGGGGAGAGAGTGAGTGAACTGGTAGTTTATTGATTGAGTAAGTGAGTGAGTTGGCGCGAACTGTTGATGAGTGATTGATCACAGGGGTAGGTTGGGTCAGAGAGTGAGTGAGTTGGTGAATTAAAGAGTGAGTAAGTGAGTTAGCGCGAACTGTTGGTAGGTGATTGATTGCATGGGTGAGTAGGTGAGTGAGTTAGTTTGTGAGTGAGCAAGTGAACGAAAACTGTTCAGCAGATAAAAGCAAGAATGCATCTCACACCCTTCAAAGAAGACGAGGTGTGGAAGAAACCCAGTCGTTCCGGCAACACCGGATGCTACCCGCCTTGCCTCACGATTTATTCGCCCATTTGTGCGCGCTGGTTCGTATTCTCCTGGCGTTTCCCATTTCCCCATCTGTTTTCAGATCATTGACGGCTGTGGATTGCTGAGCTTGCTTGTTCACTTCTCTGAAGTCCGAGACGGGGCGGGAAACCAGTTGGTTTCACAAGCAACAAAGGGCGCCCTGCTTTCACAAGCATCGAATGGTTCCCTGCTAAGGCCACGGGCGCTTGCTTTGAAACGTCACCCAGAGGGGAACTCGCGGTCCGAGCCAACCAAAGCAACGCAAGAGTCAAACAACGCGAAAAACAAAGTGGTGCCTGTGTGAGGGAGTCCAGCTGGTGGGATTAACGGTTGGACTCTTCTTCTCCCTTTCCTTTCCTTTTCTTCGCACTACTATTATTTCTCATGGTAGTTGCTCTTCTCCCCGCCGACCGAACATTCCACGTGGCCTTTCAGATATACGGAGGGTGCGTGAGTGAGCGAGTAGAAGTGTTAAGAGCACACCTCTCTCTCTGTCCATGATTGGTTGATGTTTCCCTCGTTCTGCAAGAGGAGGAGTCGTTGAGGTTGTCGCGACGTCGAGCGCTGTTGGATGAGGGCACGTACGTTGGTGTCAAAAATCAAGAAGGGTCATCTCCTTGCTGTCGTGCAAAAAAAGTACCTGGAACACCAACATTACATTTTCAACGCACATGAATGTATCCTGGAGTGACCAATAGACTCGATTTACGAAGTCATCGCTTTTAGCAGCGCAGCACCTGGCAAATGAACGCCAATGTAGCATAAAACACGTCGATATTCTTGTCTTTACGGTACTGCAACGTGTGCCTCCCATGTTGTTCCCGAGTTGTCACCGTTTTAGCATCGCCATCATCGAAAAGATGCACAACATATTCCCCGATGAAGTTCACAGGAGGAGGAGGAGGAGGAGTGACACTGGTTGGGATACAGGTGGGATTGAGGTTGGGTTGATTTGCCTCCCCCCAGGAGTCGGGAGTAGAGTGTCGGAGCCGTGTGGGCTTAGCTGTTTTGGACTGTGGGGTGTTTTAGGTTTAGTCACGGTTGGCCTGGTCCACGCTAACTTGCGGGTGTACGGATATTGTTGCCATTGGTAATTCCCCTCGGGAAGTGTGTATCAGTGCGGAAACTCAACAGTCCCGGTCACAGCAGGCACGGCGCGCGCAAATATTGGAGCGTGAGGGGTGCTGCGGTCGGTTTCGTGTGTTGTGCGACCTATTATCGCATGCTACGCTCTACTGCTGTTAACAAGCAGCTAGACGCCTCAATGCAGCTATTTAGCGCACTGTACCGCTCACGTCTGCACAGTGGCGCGTGTTCAGCACTTTTGTAGGTCATCGCGTCGGTTTTTCCTTGGTGTTGGACGTTGCTACATACGTCTACAGTAGGTCGCAGCCTTGCACGCTCGCGCCTCGGAGAGTAGGCGCATCGCACACACCTTTTCGGTGGGGCAAATAACTATACGGACGGCAGGCCGTAGCGGACGTCGGATTTCTCGCCTGGTCAATGTCAAACGTTACTGCAAGACTTTTATCACACGAAAAAAGCATACCAAGACGCCCTTAACAACACGAAGCATGTCGAAACACCAGACGCCTCTCTGTTAAGGGAGGTCTTGCGCAGGGGTTCCGCCTCGCAACAACCAAAACTTCTTCCATCGAGGCATTTTCAGTTGGAATCAAAACCGAATCATGCGTGAAAGCAACTCACAAGAGTACCCGCGGTAGTCGTCAAGTCAAGTCTTGCATGCCGTCATGCAGGGGCTTTGCGCAAGGGCAACACTACCCCCCTCAACTCGCAAGAATACCCGCGATAGTCGACTTATGTGCGGTATTGAAGGGACTTTGTGCACAAAATCTACCCCCCTTTCAATATATTATAGCCTTGGCGATCCCGTACTCGACAAGCCTCTTGGTTAACTCCACGTCTACGCTCTCTCTCTCTCTCTCTCTCTCCCCCCCCCCCCCCCCACCAAAAGTCGGACG